TTTTCTACCCCTGCTTCTCTCTTTTGCTGTGTGTGTATGTATGTGACGGGGGTGAGGGCTTGCTAAATAAAAGAGCAAATAAAATCGCACCATCAGATCATTACTAGTGTGATAGTTTTGTACTATTGGGTCCCTGTTTTAAAAGAGTCATTCATTAATTTTTTCATTCATTCAACAAATATTTATTAAGTGCCTATCATATACCCCACTGGACACTGGATACACCCTCATTTAGCTGATCTTCATATCCTGAATATTTTTGAATTCCTAGAAATGGAGTAACCCTTCTCACATAAACATAAGACATCCCCACTCTCAGCACCTTAGGAAGAACCTCGGAGTATTTTTGAAGATGATATGCAAGGAGAGTGCTGGACTCTTCCAAACACAGAGGCAGGTAGCAGGCTGTGTTCACTTCCCCATAAATTGGAAATAACACATTTTGCTGCTAATGGCTTGATAAAAAATAAGAGGTGAGGTACTGAAGAACTAGGTCCATCGCTGGGATAAGTGTTCAGTCATTTGAATTACTTTACTTCCACTATGTCCTCCCACCAAATTATCTAATTTGTTTCAATAGATTTGTGCAAAATAGCACAAGAACAAAAGTCGAGTACCTGAAAGAAATTAGACCATGTACTAAAACAACCTGACTTCCTCCCAAATATTATAATATCTAAAGGCATAAACATATACAATATAGACAGATAGATAAACAGATGCTGATACTCTTTTTTCAAGCTGTTGATGTCCATTAGCATTAGTTCTACGATTCCTTTACCCAGAGAAGCATAGAAAATCGGAGAAAGCATTACATATGTGCAACAGAGCCAGTAAAGTTACTTGTGAAGTTAGTTAAAAGGCTTATTAGCACATTTTTCTCACACTTTTTAATGAACATCCATAAAACACTGTGGCCAAGCAAATTAACTTAGGAATTAATTAGAGATGTTAGAAAGAGATGTTGGACTAATACAAAAGAGATCAGAAAGGAAATTATTTTTACTCTATTAATATGATAACCAGCTGATTACAGTTTATCCTACTTCAATAAATTCTTTCTTCCTATACTCATTTACTTTTGATAATAAAATAAACACTAATGCATGGTTCCCCAGAACATTGCTAAAAATATTTCCTAGCAATAACTGCTTCTAGCAACATGGTGAACCAGAGTTGTTGTGAGGGACTTTCCTGCTGTAGAAAAGATCCTAGTTAGGGCATGCTTTCTGATGATCATGAAAACCCAAACCATGAGCTGCTCTGAACTGTGACTAGAGGGGAGGAGCAGGGTTGCCCTGAGGTCTTAAGCCTGTAGTGGTGCAGTAAATTAGATATTGAGCTGTGGGCCAACAACAACATAGACAAGCTGAGCCTGAGAATCCTGTGTTGAATTGTGACTCTCAGAGGGACCAAATGGTTCCAAGTTGGTGCAGACCTTTAGTTCACAACAGAAGCAGACACACTCTCCTCAGGAAAGCATCCCCTTAGGATCCCCACAGATGAAGACCAAAATGCTTGCAATCAAAGATCATCAAGCACAAGAAAAGGCAAACTCCATGAGTGAGAATCAGAAGAAATGACAAGGAATAGATTTGGACCCTCTAGGACTGCAGAGACTGGAATTGTCAGATACAGAATGTAGAATGGTTACATGTGAACAATTTAAAAAAATAATATAGGAATCGAAAAAACAAGCAAGAAACAAGGAATTATCAGGAATGACCATGTACACTTGTAAAAGAATCAAATAGAAACTCCAAAAACTGAAAATATTTTTGGGAAGTAAAAGGCAAAGGTGCCATTTAGATACAGCTAAAGAGAGAATTAGTGGATAGAGAGATCTGAAGAAAATATCACCAGCTTAGAAAGATAAGAAGATGGAAATACAAAAGAAAAGTTTAAAAATACAAAGTGAAGGAAAAGTTCTAGCACATGTCTAATTAGAATCTCAGAAGGAGAGAAGAGACAGGATGGAGGAGAAAAAATATTTGAAGAGGTAATGCCTGAGAATTTTTCAGAACTGATGAATGACATTAATCTACAGAAATAATCTAAAGAGGACAAGTAAAGCAATTGCATGAGTAGACACATCACAGTGAAATTCCTGAACACCAATGACAAAGAGGAGATGTAAAGTCTGGAAGTGAAATTTGAAGCAAAATATGAGTTATTCATCAGTGATAGAGACATTGATGTTCTGTCACTTCTAGGTACACTCATCCAAACATACTGAAAAGAATTCTATTTCATTGTAGATCCACTACAGTCATTTCGTTTTTCACTTGAGTCTCTGTATATTTATTATAATTGACTATAAGCTAATAGCTCTCTTGGCACAAAAGATATCTATTAAGTATATTTAGAATTTGATTTTTCACTCTAAATTCAATTTTAAAAGAGCAGAGATTATTTTATACTAGACACATACAACTACTCAGTTCAGTTGTTTGGAGCAGGGTTTCTCAATCCTAGCTGCAACGTAGAATTACTTGGGGAGTTTTTATGATGTATATAACATTGCACAAATTCAACATGCATAGCCAGATGAATTATAACAAAGTGACACACCCCTGGTGCAGGTTGGCTTATCAAACGCTTTCTTTCCCGAATTGGAGGGCAGAGTTCATCTGTGACAGTGCTTAGGTGTGTTAACAGGTAGGCTTCCTGATAGGGTATGCTGGCTGGGAGCAGACAGTAGGCTGGGAATCGCACAGTGGCCAAGGAAGAAGGGCCTTATTCTGGTGGTAGAGAGTGTTCCTGTTTTTACTCCTGGACAAAGCTGCTTCCTCTTTATTTTCCTTCACTCTCTGAAGGAGAGGTCTAGAGTTACCTGAATCTCTGTTTCTTTTCTCTCTCAGTACATTAACTAGGACCCTTCCCCAATCTCATCAGTCACCTATTCATTAGAGAACAGGTCTTCAATACTAAGGGAAAACCCTCCCATGCCAGCTATGTAGTAGCCTCTGTATACTGGGGTGGGGTGAGAGGTAGGAAAGTAGCTGGACTAGCTGTTCTAAATTTAGTTCTTAACTTAAAAATCTTGCTGTTTGCCTGATGATCTACTCTTGACTTTGTCCTAACCAACTTTGTACTTGGACTTTCTTTGGAAGCTATCTTGAGAAGAACTGCTTTTATCTCCGGTGTTTCTGGTTGTAGCTTTTTCTATCCTGCTTTCTCTCTCCAAAATTTCCTTAAACTTTCTGGCCCACTGCTAACTCCATTTTTATTTTGCCTTGCTTTATCTTTATATCACTGTTGCATTGTCTTCACATGTATATATCCCTTTTTTATTATTTCAATGAGGCCATGGGGAATGAGAGGTAGGTATTTAGTCCTTTTCCAGACACTGACTCATGATATCTTGAATAGCTTCTGATGATCAGTTCCACCAAATTGCCTAGCATAGCTATAGACCCTGTTCATAGAACACAGTGAAAGAAGTGTTACATAACAGAAGAAATACTGGACTGAATGTCATAAGGTGACGGTTCTGTTCCCCATACTGGCATGAACTTGTTATGTAACTACGATCAAGTCACCTCATCTTGCTGGGGCTGTTTCTCCATGTTTAAAATTGATGGGAAATTTGTCAATATTTATCAAAAATAAAAACACACTTAACTTTTAACCAGCATTCTATCTTCAGAGAATTTATCTTGCAGGTATAACTAACTGCACATGTACAAAATGACAGATGGATAAGATTATTCATTGCAGCATTAGAGAAAAGAATTCCTTGCTGTAATATTTGAAACAACTCAAGTGTTTCAAATCAATAGAGAAATAATTGAATAACTATGGTATATCCACACAACGGAATACTATGAAGTTCTGAAAAAGGAGGGAGCTTTTTATACACTGATAAGGAAAAATGTGCAGCACATATTAGTAAATGAAAGAAAACAAGATGAAAGAGCATGTATATAATCATACACCTACCCTATTACCCAGCAGAGACACTCCTAGGTCTTTACCCCACATGAGAATCAAGTGAAGAACTTTTAACAACACTGATGGCATGGCATCTCAGGTCAACTGATACAATTCACAAACATGAACAGACAGCAGAAGATCAACAGAAATATGAGGAAACAAAATGGATCCAAAATGACACTAAAAATTCTAAATACTATCCTTAGGAAAATTAGAGAGGCTATTGCATCTACCAAACAAGAAAGAATTTTTGGAAATTAAAATATAATTGCTGAAATAAAAATAATTCCATGGACCACCACATATTATAATAGAGTGAAAAACCAAGTTACTGATTTGGAAGCTCAAGCAAAGAAATTTCCAATAAGTCCAAGCAAACAAAAAAGACACAAGAAATAAAACAGAAAGTTTAAAAATAGAGAGAATGGGTCCAAGATACTCAATAGCTTACTAAAAGAAGTTCCAAGAGAAGAGAACAGATAGGAAAGAGGGGGAATAATAAAATAAATAACAGAATAAAAATATTCCAGACTCGGGCCGGCCCCGTGGCTTAGCGGTTAAGTGCATGTGCTCCGCTGCTGGCGGCCCGGGTTCGGATCCCGGGCGTGCACTGACACACCGCTTCTCCGGCCATGCTGAGGCCGAGTCCCACATACAGCAACTAGAAGGATGTGCAGCTATGACATACAACTATCTACTGGGGCTTGAGGGGAAAAAATAAATAAATAAAATCTTTAAAAAAAAAAAAAATAAAATTCCAGACTGAAGAAACATAAGATCCTTCATACTGAAAGTCTCATCGAGGCTAGGCGAGGTAGATGGAAAAAAGATCTATACTTAAACATGCTCTGTTGAAATTTCTGGAAAGACAATTTAAAAAATTTCTAGAGAGATGAAAAAAATAGGTCAGCTATAATGGAAGGAGAATCAGATTAACAGCAGATTTTCCATCAGAAGACTGGACACTAAAACTCAAAGGAACAAAGACTGCCCAAAAAACTCACTGGGATAACAACTATGAATTTAGAATTCCATTTAACTATTATTTTATGTAACACTTTCAGTCATTCCAGAGCCAGCTCAGCAGAAGACCAAGCAGAAGTAATGTGGTCCACAACCAAACCCTTGAGGAGCCGTCCACTGGATGCTGAATCCCCTCTCCCACTCTGCTCACGCATCCCGCTTACAGTTAGCATGCGGTCAGCCTTAGTCATAACCCCTCCCTCTAAAAGGTTATGCACCCTCTAAAAAGACGTCTCTCATACTCACTCTGGATGGCTGCTGAGCCTCTGAATGAGGCTGAAAGTCTCACTGGCTGAGCTAGTTTTCTAGCTGCTCAGGGCTCATTGAAGAGGGATTTTGGGGGGATCAAGTGAATCTTCCCTGCTCTATCCCCATTATAACTCCAAAAAAAAAAAAAAAAAAAAAAAACTCATACAACTTCTGAGAAAGTCTATCACCCTCACAAGCTCTCCAAAAACATTACTCAATAAGGCCCTCCAGCAGACCAAACAAAAAAGAAATAATTAAAAAAGAGTACAGCATGAGCCACAAGAGTAGCAGCTGAAATGACTTACCAGAAGAGAAGAAAACTCAAAGGAAATGAAAAGGGAAATCATTAGACCTTCGTGCTTGGGGCATCGTCCTTTGAGTGGCTGGAGATGAGTGTCTAAACATTATATTTCTTTCTCTCTAAATCCAATAGCATAACTTGGTTCTGTGGTAAATATTTATAATCTCATTAATGCCTCTTAAATTTGGGTTAAAAGCTTTGCATTACCCTATAGACTAAACATGGAATACATAATCATAGTCACAGAACAGCAGATGTAGGGAAGTAGAGGAGATGGGAGATAGTATAAACTCATTAGATTGTAGAGTTTCCATATTAGGAAGTCAATAGCTACCCTCTAAAGTTGAAACAAACAAGCAAAAAAGAGGAAAATATAATTTAAGCTGTAATGGTAACTCCAAGAGAACTACAACACAGAAACTTTTATGCGTTTATTCCTGACGAAGAATATTGGAAATATAGTAGGAGACGGCCTGATTTTTCATTTTTGATCCTTCTGCCTGATTTGACTTTAAAAAATATATTAATACAATGACTAGACCCTTATCAATAAAGAATTATTTAAATAAATTGAAGTAGAATCATATAATGGAATATTCTGCAGCCTTTGGTAAAAATAAGATTTGTGAAGGTTGTCCACAATTCTGTTTAATGTAAAAAAAAAATAAACCAACAGAGAATTTGCAAAATAATATCGTGTCATCTCCATTAAGGTAAAAAAATATATTTCTGTGTGCATGTGTATATGTAAATGCACAAAAAATATCAGGAAGGAGAAACTATAAACTGAGGGTACTGGGGAAAGGAAGGAATCTTTCAGTATTTACTTTTAAAACTTCTGAATTATTTTAATGTTAGGAATATATAACATACAATACGTAATATGTATGTATTAATTTTAAAATAAATTCTATACTTTTAAATTACAAAGTTAACATGTGTTGTAACAAGTCAAAAAATATAAATTTATAAAAGTATAGTGTTATTACTTCCTTACTTTCTTCATTTAAAACTCAATGTTTACAAACATTATTAAAATTCAAATTACTAAAATTCAAATTACTGTTTTTGTTTTGATAGCCAAATAATGCCAATATTATTTATTAAATAAACTCCCTATTTCCCATGGAATGGAAATATTCTCATTATCATACAGTAACTTCCCACATTTACTTATATAGCTTTCTTGATTTGATTCAATTCCACTGCTCTATTTGCTTTTTCTTTTGCAAATAACATTTTTTTTATTACTTTAGTTTTAAAGTAAATTCCAATATCGGGTACTACCTGTCCCACCTCATTATTCTCTCTCTCTCTTATATTCTTGAGAATTCTTGCATTTATTTTTCCATATGAACTTTCAAATCATCCAGTCCAGTACAAAAAACATACCTTTAGACTTTTTTTGAGATTACATGAAACATACATTATTACTGTAATAAAAAATTTTTCTAAATAAGAAAAGCAGTATGGTTAAATCCACACAGGTCATTTCCACCACAGGAAGGACAATGCAAAGCAGGTCTCCTACTGATTGTATAAAGAACACAAGCAATGAATGTTAGAGAACTCCACCTTCAAACATAAACCAAAATCCTCACTAATAGAAAATAAGTGCCTGCAAACTTCCTCCTCGACAGACCATAACAAAACATGTGTTCATGGACGGCTGTGTTCACAGACCTGCAGTCATCATAAACTGAATGAACAAACTCGCGTGAAGTGCGGGCGTTTCTTAGCTCTGAGTGGGTGGTGAAGGGCAAGGCCGCCTGGAGAAGAGTGAGGGCTGACTGGTCCAAGACTGTTGGTGTGCAGACATAATTCCCAGTCTGGTCTTTTTCACAATTAACCCTGTTTATGTAACTGCAGAACTGATGACCCAGGTCAGTGAGGCACTGTAGCTACAAAGAGAAAGAAAAGGCTCTGCCAATGAAGGGCTTGCAGCTCTGGGGAAGAGATATAATTATAGGGGCAGATGCGTGACATCCAGCACAGTGGGAAGATTCTACGTGCTGGCGCTGTGCTGAAAAAGTGGCTCAGATCTCTGCTCTCCCATTGTCTAGTCACGGGAGCTTGGGCTCTAAACTTCAATCCCTTCATCTGTAAAACACGGATACAAATGCTTGTGAGTAGGGCTGTTGTGAGCATGATATAAAGCACCTCAAAGAACGTCTGACACACAGTAGGCTCTCAATAGATGCCAGATATTAATGACAATCAGAAATGTACAACAGACAGAAATTGGGCAAAGATGGTCATATTTTAGAGCGTCTGGAGTAGAAAAAAGTGTTTAAATGAGAAACTGAATGACGCGTGCGGGGCATTATTAAATACTGCTGTATTGTAAAATTAAAAGTTGCCAGACCAGGGAAGCCTGAGCAGAGGGCTAAGAGGTGCACACAAATTCAATTAGAAAGGGTCTTGTATGCTAGTATGCTAGGTCAAGGAATCATGATTGCATGTTATAGCAGTTGTTCTTTTTAAAAATGGAGTAAAATAAGATTCATGTTTTTATAAAGACCCTCCTGGGAACAGTACAGGGAATGTACTGGAGGAATTTGGAAGTAGGGCTTTACCGTAATACTGCAGGCAGAAAGATTACTTTATTTCAAAAGATGCATTAGACTGTGTTTTTAAGTTGCAATGGGAGAGATATGATGTGTACAGAAGAAAGCTAATAAAAAAGAGCATGTTGAAGAACTAGAGAGGTGACACAAACTATGGGAGTTAAGGAATCCCTTGTTAGGCTCAGTCTTGCTCTCTTGCCTTTCTTCTGTCTGCTGAAAACCTAAGACTGACAAAGGCTTAAACTTGCCCAGGCTGAGTAACCTAGTCAGCAAGTGGATAATGCCTTTAAGTTTGCAGGATTTAGACGCAGCGGGTTGATGTGAAAGTGCAGTGCACTTGGAGTATGCTGTCTTTACTGAATGTGCAGACCCACAACAGCAATGGATAGAATATGGCTGTTTTTGCTTCAAAGTCAGCTGCTTGATTTAGCAGAGAGAGCAGAGGCTGCAGAGACAGCCACACTGGAGGTTGTAGTCCAGCTGCTCCACTTACACTGTGGGTAAATCAGTCAATTTCTCTCAGAGACTCAATCTCATCTGTTAGTGCCTCTCACACGAAATTTATATACTACTGGAAGCAGACAGGACGTCAACAAACAAATATGTCCCAAAGATGATAAGTGTAGTAAAGAAGAAGACAGCAGCGTGAGGGGATGGAGAGTAATTGAGAACTGCTGTTTATATAAGGAGGTCAAAGAAGGCATCCTTGATAAGTCTTATTTGAGCACTCACTTTCAGGAAGTGAGGAAGTAAGTTTTGAAGATGTTTGGAGAAAAGATAATTCTAGGCCCAGAAAACAGAGAGTACAAAGGCCCTGATGTGGAAGCAAGCTGGGCTTGGGGGCAGGAACATCAAGGAGGCATGTGTGGTTGGAACAGAAAAGTGTTGGAGATGAGAGCAGGGAGGTGGAACAGGTCAGACCATGGTGGGATTTGTAGGCAGTGTGGAGACTCATCCAGTAAGCACAGTTAGGTGTCCAGGCCAGCTTCTCCTCTGAGTGACTAGATAGATGGGAAGCCATCCTGAGCAGAGTAGAGGCTCTGACCCTCTGAGCCCTACCATCTGACTTGCTGGAGCATCACTAGGGCTGCAGTGTTGAGTACAGACTGTAGGGGGCATCAGGAGGAGCGATCATTCCAATAGTGAGGAGACACTGTAATGGGCAAGTAGAGCAATGAAGAAGGCCTAGACTACACTAGTACGTGGAGGTGTTGTGGAGAGGTTATATTGTGGATTCTTTTAGAAGGTGGTGCTGACAGGATCTGCTGACGGATGGCCAAGCTGTGATCTCTGGCTCAAGGCATTTTAGCTGGTCTTGTAAGAATAAAACAAAGTAAATAAAATGCCTAGAATTTGATAGTTGCTCAAAAACATGAGTTCCCTTCCACCTTCCTTTGAGGTTCTGTAGACTCTCCAACTGCTTGGCATATGCAGAACACAGTTAAGAGTGGCACGGGGTGGGGGGGGGAGTAAAAAGAAATGAAAGAATGGTATGAAACCCCATATCAACGGGATCCCAGTTTAGATTTTTCACCGGAAGTTGTCTCCTCATCAGTAGATGCCCAAACCATAAATGACATGGGGAGGAGCGAACAAAATAAAATAAAGGGAAAAAAGTGGCAGAGAGTGCTTTTTCAGCTATTGTCTCTTGCCTCCCGTGTCCTCGACCACTTGTTTCTGGGTGAACAGAAATGAAAAGGTTAAGCTCCACATTGTTTCCTATCTATCACCAGGGCAACTAGAGACAAGAACTACTTGAGACAAGGTATTTTCTTTCTCAGAACAACACTGAGGAGATTTACTGTAGGCTCTCACATTAAAGCATAGCCAAACAACATAAATAAACGAATGAACTGTGTTTCTCAAGGCTCAAAGCCTCAATCCAAGTAGCTTTAAGGAAGTCTTGAAAAGCAACCATTCACAGTGGCAGAGGATCTAGTTCCAGAATGGAGCAATGAAAAAACAATTCATTAAACATTGTAAGTACTGAAAAATGCATGGAAAAACTATGGTTAAGTGTACTTAGCAGAAAACCTAGCATTTGAAGAGAAACTAACCCATTTCGC